CCTGAATTTGGGATTTCCAGTCCCCACAGAAGAGCTGGTGTGGCTATAACCCAGTGCTGGGAGTCAGAGACAGGCAGGTACCGGGCCGCAGTGGCTAGCCAGTCTAGCCTAAATAGCAAGATCCTGTCTTAAGAATAAAATATGTAATAAAACTAAGGTAGAGAGCAATAGAGGAAGATCCTGGTGTCAATGTCTGGCTTCCACATTTGCATACACACATCCAGAAAACCTGAATCAGGGTCTCCTGTAACCCAGGCTGGCCTGGAACTCACTTTATAGCCAAAGGTGACCTTGAACTCCTGATCTCCTTATCTCCACCTCCCAAGTACTGGAAGTATAGGTGTACACCACCATACCAGTGTATTTAGTTCTGGGGCTTGAAGCATTCTACAAGTGAGCTACATCCTCAGCCCTGAATGGTCTCTTTTTTTTTTTTTTTTTTTTTAAGGGTCTTGTTTATGTAACTCTGGCTGGCCTGCAACTTGCTATGTAGACCAGGCTGGCCTTGAACTCATAGAGCTCTGCCTGCCTGTGCCTTCCAGGTGTGGAAGATTTTTTTTTTTATGTTCATGTGTGGTTCTCCCATACCTGGTGCACCTGACATGTGCTCTACGTGTGTGAAATACCCGAATGGGCCAGAAGAGGGCACCGCCCCGTGTCCTCTGGAGCCGAAGTTTCAGGCAATTGTGAGCTGCTTTCTATAGGAACCAAACCTGGGTTCACAAAAGCTGCAAGCGCTATTAACTACTGAGCCAGCTATCCAGCCCTGGATCTTTTTTCTTTTCTTTCTTTCCTTCCTTCTTTCTTTCTTTCTTTCCTTCTTTCTTTCCTTCCTTCTTTCTTTCTTTTTAATTTTCTATGTGCATTGGTGTTTTTTTCCCTGCATGTATGTCTATGTGAAGATGTCAGATCCTGGAACTCCAGTTACAGACAGCTGTGAGATGCCATGTGGGTGCTGGGAATTGAACCTGGGTCCTTCAGAAGAGCAGCCAGGGCTCTTAACTACTAAACCATCTCTCCAGCCCCCATCTTAATTCTTAAGCAAAAACTTTCCTTTCCCCTCTCCATCTCTCCTCTCCTCTCTTCCCTTTCCCTCCCCCTTCTCTTCCCCTCCCTTCCTCTCCCCTCCTCAAGTTATTGTTATTGTTGTTTGAGATAGGGTCTCATGTAGACCAGACTGGCCTCTTTCACTATGTAGCCAAAGCTGTCCTTGAACTGTTCAACCTTCTGCCTCTGCTTCCCACGTGCTAGAATTATGAGCAGGTTGTGTCCACACAGGCGCCCTTTCAGCAGTCTTCTGGTGAACTTGACGTGTGCGTGAAGCGCTTGTGCACACTGAAGTGTGATGCAGTCCCTGAGAAAAGCAGGCCATGTTCAAATGTGAACCACGTGATCACGTGTGAGTGTGTGTGGAACAGCACGTTTACTTGAAAAATGACTGAACAACTATGGTTCTCAGACAGACCTGTTCTCCAAAAGGAACTTCAGAGGAAAATCCGACAGGATTTGTTATCAAATTTACAATTCAATTTTTCAAGTGAAAATTCTAATTTTGAATAGCTTTTCTCTAACACTGTGACTTCACAGCTTCCCCAAACGCTAAACATAGTTGTAAACTCTCTGATGAAACAAATCAAGATATTAAAGAATGTGATATTCTGATACAATTCATTTATTGAGATGTGTCAACATTTGGAACATCAGTGTGGCTCAGTGAGTCAATATTTTCCAAATGAGCAATGAATGACATGACAAAATTATGTATGAGTAAACAATTACCCAAAACGTAAGAAGTTCAAAGTGGGCGTGGTGGCACACACCTTTGACCCCAGGCAGAGGAAGATGGCTAAGAGTGCCAGTCTGCATAGCAAGTTCCAGGTTAGCCAGAGCTACATAGAGAAGAGACCCTGCCCCTGCCAAAAAAAAGTTCATGGTCGTTCTCAGCAGTTCAAGACCAGCCAGCCTGAGTCAGGTACATGAGGCCCTGTCCCAACCCCCTCCCAGAAAAAAAAAAAAAAAAATCTATATACCTATCTATATATAATTGGCACACTTCACTAATTTGAGGAGGAAAATATGCTTTTTATTCAAGTTTCTTTATATTAACATGGTGATGTATGATAGGTGTGTGTATTTTGTTTGATGCAGATCTAACTGTAGTCCAGGTTGGCCTCAGACTGAACATGTAGCAGAAGATAACCGACAGCTTCCAATCCCCCAGCTCCACCTGAGTGCTGGGGTCACCGGAGTGCGCCACCCTGATCAGTCCCTGCTGTGCTGGGGAACAAACCTAGAGCCTGCTGCATGCTTGCCAAACACTGTTACTAAACCACATCTCCAGCCTTCGATTCTGCGATTTTTAAAAAATTCATAAATTTATAAATTTATGAAAGAATTCATAAATTCATAAAGAATTCATAAATTTTCTTTTATGTTTTCTAGGCTTGTATCCTAATACAATAAGTGTTGATGTCTGATGACATTTCAAAAAAGGCTATTGGGTAATCTTCAATAATTTCTGAGAGCATAAAGGTTTTTTGTTTTGTGTTTTTTGAGACAGGGTAGCTTTGACTGTCCTGGACTTGCTTTGTACACCAGGCTGACCTCGAACTCACGGAGATCTGCCTGCCTCTGCCTCCCATGTGCTGGGATTAAAGGCATGTGCCACCTGCCAGGCTACATAAGGGGTCCTAACACCAAAAATATTTTGCACTAGGCCATTCATTTCTCTAAATTCGCTGTATTACTCGTTATACTTGAGTGCCTGGAAGCTTCTGTGTAAAAACATCTGCCCAAACGTTCATGAAGACTGCTCTGGTTAAGCCGGGTACTGTCCAAGGGGCTGAGCACTCAGAATTGAGAACAATAGTCCTTGCTCTAGAGGACGCAAGAGTGTACGAGTTTGTAGCAGGACACTAGGCTGAGAGTCAAAGCTCACAGCACCTATGGGATGGAAGGGGCCGGGAGGGAGGCGGCCAGGGAGGGCTTCCCAGAAGAGCTGATACTTGATCTGTGCCCTAAAGGCCAGGAGGAATCAGTTTAGAGGAACGGTGTTTAGAGCAGGAACAGTATGCATAAAATGTGGATGCTATTCAGAAAGGTATGGCTATTTTCAGCCCGTGTCCACAGCTCAATATGAAGCAAGAGGAAGTCTGAGTATTGAAGATGAGGCTAGCGACGTAGGCTGGGACCCAAACAAAGAGCAGCTCTACCATATTAAGAAACATGAGTCAGTTTCTTCTTCTTCTTTTTTTAATCTTGAAGGCGCAAAAGGAATAGGGAGGGGGGATTGCAGGATTTTTCTATTCCACTAACTTAAAAAAAAAAAAATTGTCAGCAAAAACAAAGGGTAGTTAGATAAATGGATGAACTAGAGAACAAGGAACAAGGAAGGCCACTACCGACCCAGAATGTGACTCCAAGGAAGCAAGCTCAGAGACCACGTCAACTTTATGGAGCAATCTAACTCGTAGTTTAAAGTATCTCTAGAATTTTGTGCATATGAAAAGTGAAGAGTTTGGAGAAGGAGAAAGCTAAGCCCTAGGAGTCTAGCAGAGGTTGTTGGATGGATGGAACTTTCTCGGAGTTTAGGAAACACGCAGCAGTGGGCTCAAGTCAACACCGAGGTCGTGTGTGCTCCCGTTAGTGTGAGTGTAGTTAGCAGACAGCAAAGCAGACGGGGATTCACGCCGTGCCGCCCCTCTGCCCAGTCCGGCGGCGGCCCGGGCCTCAGACCCCTCTGCATCGGCTAGTCCCAGCCGGGCTGCCCTCCCTCCCGGGGATCCTCCCTCCCGGGGGTCCTCCCTCCCGGGGGCCCGTGCCTCCCGGGGGTCCTCCCTCCCGGGCTGCCCTCCCTCCCGGGGGTCCTCCCTCCGGGGCGCCCTGCCCCCCCGCCGCAGCCCTCGCCCCCTGCCCACCCCCAAGGGCGGAAGAACCGCGTCGCCCTCGCCCAGCTCGGCGGTGGCTGGAAAGCAGCCTCCGAGGAGGGGCCGCCTCACCGCCCGTTCCCCTCTCCCGGTGGCCGCGTAATCCCTCCCCGAGCTCCCTTCGGCTCGCGGCTGCCCGGCCCCGCCTCCCCCACGGGGAAACATCCCAAAAAAGGGCAGAAAAGAAAATTCGGAGTCAAGTTGGCCCCTTGAGGAAAACCGGCGAGCCCGCTGGGAGAAGGGAGGAGGAGCGCGGGCGCCAGGGAAGGAGAGGGAGGCGAGAGGGGGAGCAGGCAGAGCCCGGGGGGCGGGAGCGCCTCGTCCCGGGTGGGAGTGGGGGTGGGGAGAGCGCCCGGGCCAGCCTGGCCTCAGCCTCGTGGAAAATATGCGGGGCACGTGGGGGGCGGGGCGGGCAGGCGCGGAGGACCTGGCTCTTCCACTGAGACTGGGAGGGAGCGCTAGGTTAACAGATGCCAGGCCCGCCCTCGGGGGCAGCAGGCCTCCTGCCTCAGTTTCCCCAAGCACAGAAAAGACAACCACCACCTCCACGTCGGTAGCGCAAACCTGGATTCTGGGACTCGGGGTAAACTGAGGCACTCGAGGCATGCAGGAGATCTGCCTCCCAAGAGACATTTAATCTGGGGGGGATTTGCAGGAAACTTCTAAATTAAGGGTAGCGGCTGCTGCGAGCTGAGTGAGGGCATGCGGTCCCTGCGCCCAGGCAGCTGCCGTGAGCTCACGCCCTGAAATAGCCCCAGGGGCCCCGGCCGCAGCTGCCGCAGGGCCCGCCTGTCACTCAGAGGAAGTGCTGAGCCCCCGGCCCGAGGGTCCCGTCCCCTCTGCTGACCAAGGCTTTTACAGCCTGCAGCGAGCTAGTTTTCCTTCCGACGGCTGGCTAGCGAAGAGAGGAGGCGGGGCCGGGGCCGAGGGGGAGGACCCGAGGGGTGGGCGCAAAGGACGGCCGCGCCCCGAGACCGGGCAGTGCTTCTGCCCCTACAAGGTTTGGGCCTCGGTGGGGGAGGGTCCTGGCCCCTGGCTCCGCCCGGTCCCTCCCCTCCTTTTAGGCGCCCTCGCTGCTGGGACATCCCAGTCCCTCTTGCTCTTCCTGACCTGTCCCCCTCCGTCCAGTGCCCGCAGCCAGCCCGGTCTACCCACTCTTCACAGCCCACCCTCCGGCCCACCTCCCACTGCAGCCATGGACGCCATTAAGAAGAAGATGCAGATGCTGAAACTGGACAAGGAAAATGCCATCGACCGCGCAGAGCAGGCTGAAGCCGACAAGAAGCAAGCTGAGGACCGATGCAAGCAGGTGGGGCCCAGTGTAACCTCCGCTTCCCTCTACCGGCCCTGGGTCTGCTCTCCAAGGCTTCCCATCAGTGTGGGGCTGAGCCTTAACAGCACCGTCCAGAGTTCGGCCCTTCCTAGAGTCTTCACCCACCCATCGCCTGGGAGCCCCCAGTTACCACTCCTGTCATTAAAAAGCTGCAATAGGTCCCGTTAGGCTTGTTACTTTCTCCTCCCAGGGCCTCCTAACACTGCTTCTGAACTGTCCTTCCTTTCATCCTTCTCTTGTTCATCCTTCAACAGTCTCCAAGTATCTTCTAGAACAAGTTCCCCGACACACACACACACACACACACACACACCCTTCCCAGACCTGCCTTCCTTGCCTCAGGGCCCTGACCCAGACCTAGCTGATCAATCGCCCCTCTTCCACAGCTGGAGGAAGAACAGCAGGCCCTCCAGAAGAAGCTGAAGGGGACAGAGGATGAGGTGGAAAAGTATTCCGAGGCTGTGAAGGATGCCCAGGAGAAACTGGAGCAGGCCGAGAAGAAGGCCACCGACGTGAGTGTGGGCTCGGGAGGGCTAGCGGCACTAGGACACTGGTGAGGAGCCCCAGGCATGCTTGTGAAGGAAGAAAGGGACTTAGGTCTCTCTAGCATCTGAACGGACCTAGTTTCTTCTCTGTAACACCACCTAGGGCAGGTTTACACAAGTAGCCCAAGACACCTACTGCTTCCCCAGGACTCAGCCTTGTGATTCCTGTTCGTTGCAGCCCTTAGAATGTACAGTGATCAAGTGGTGAGTCATAGTGAGGGTGGGAGGCGAGAATTTACCGCCCACCTTAATCCTCCCTCTAAGAATGAAGGAGAGGAGACTGCAGCTGCATTTGGTGGGTGTGAGGCTTAGGGTTGAGTGTGAGCAGCCAGCAGGCAGGAGTGAAGAATGCTCCAAAGATGGGGCCCTGATTTGAGTTACAGCACTAAGGGGCCATTAGGAATTCCCCACCCCTGACCTCTGGCATCAGAACGCCTACTACCCTGGAGCCTCAGCTCAGGTTCTAATGGCTCCTCATTTACCCTCATTAAGCTGTCAACCTCAAGCCCAGGCCAGGCCACAGGGCAGAGGGACAGGGCCACCATTGCCAAAGTAGCCACCTTGGCAGGCTCCACTCACCCTGAGGGTTCTCTGCCCATCCCCAACCAGACTTCTCTTCTTCCCAGCTCACACCTTCAGGCAGAATGATCATATAACTTTAGACGTGGCACTATCTCCAGTGCCTGCCTCAGTTTCTCATTTTAAATTTAAGATGAGTCTGTCAGTAGGGCCTGGGGGTGAGTAGCATAAGCCATCATCTGAACACCTGAGTTGGCATTCGTATTGATCATTTTCTATTCCCTAGCCCCCCCTCCCCCAGCTGGGCTTCTTGGTCCAGTCTCTCTACCAGCCCTGGCACTTGGGAGGGAACTGACCTGCAGCTGCTAGCAACGTTGACCCTGGGCATCTGATACTCTATAAATAACCAAGGCTCAGTGCAGCTGGAGGCAAGACTGGAAACCCAAGGAGCTTGGGGGGGGGGGGGGGTGGAGAAGTGGGGAAGGCCTGCCAATAATAAACAGGAAATGTGGCCCAGTTTTATAGTGTTACCTTGAAAACAGCAGTTAACCTAAGCAGTGCCTCAGTTTCTCTTTCTTGTTTGCCATTTATCCAGTGGCCAGTGGGGACAGTAGTTACTGTCGTGTGGCAGGAGAGCAGCCAGCATCCGTAGAAGAGCAGACATGGCATATATCTGTCTTACAGTGACCCCGGGACTTCCCAAGCTTGGCAGCCATGTCTTGTCCTTCCACCTCATCTCTCTAGACTACTCTCCCACCGTCCTCCAGTGTCGTCCTTCCCTGTTCTGTCTCCAGAGTGTTTCCACGTTGAGTCATTGGGCCCTGTGCCCATGATGGGCTCTTGTTCTAAGTGGCCAAACTCCAGGTACCGAAGGCACCTGGAGGACAAGCTATAAACCACTTGCTATATATGGTGGTGTGCTGCTCCTGCCCGCAGTGCTGCCCAGGGCCTGCCCTCTGTGCCAGCCCCACCCAGCCCCATGCTACCACCAAGCTCTTCCCCCCACCAGTCCAGTCCTTTCTTCTTCTTGGTCTTAAGTCTCTGGTCTCCTAAATCTTTGCAGTTTCATCTTGGAGGATGGGCTGAGGCTATCTCACATTTATGAAGGAAGGACTCTACCGGCAACGTATGCCAATGCTCTTTGCAGAGTGTGTCACTACTTCCCATAGGTAGCTTATATCGTTAGACCCAACTGGGAGCCTTGAAAAAAGATGGGGAGGGAGGTGGAGAGATGTTCAGTGGGTAAGAGCTCTTGGTGCTCTTGCAGAGGGCCTGGGTTCGGTTGCCGGTGGCTCACGCCATCTGGGCCCCGGCACCCGTGCAGGGTGCGTACACGCAGGCGACGCACTGATACACATAAAGCAAGATAAACATGTCTCTGTTAAAGGCACGAGAGTCCCCAACCCCTTCTTGGACCGCTCACTTTAGTGAGTCCAGCATGCAGCTGAAAGTCTGCTTAGTTTTACGAGCCTCCCGTGTGGTCCTGTTGATGAACAGTGCATTATCTCAGAGGTCTGTGGCTGTCGGCTCCGATCTAGGAAGGAGGAAACTGAGGCTTAGAGAGGCCAAACGTGTTGCCCAAGGTCATATAGCAAGTGTGGAGTAGCTGAGCCATGGCTCAGAGACAACAAACGTCTGACTCTGATCCAGAGTCCTTAAAAAACACACCGCGGTTGCCCTCTGCCTCCACAGGCCACGCGGCCTCATCCAACCTCTCTTTTCCCAGGTGGCCTAGGTTGAGTGTGAGGTCCTATGGACCGTCTCCAAAGCCTCTTTCCATATTCAGAGTCTGAGTATCATCGCTTATGTTCCCTTCCCCCACGTCACCTTGGCAGGGAGCCCCTTGCTACAGCCACAGTTTCTTACAGACCTGGCTTGCCTCTGAAGTCCTTCTCTGGGAAGTCTGCCTGGCAACTGGTGATATCACAGAATCTTGATTCTGTGATTGGCTGCTTTTTAGCAGCAGCAAAGTCCAGTTGTCCTGATTTTTCTCTACTCTCCCCTGAGCTGGGCTTTGCTTTGTAGGAATCAGAGCAGAGCTGCCTCAGGTGTGGGCATCAGCATTTGGAGTGCTCTCAGGGGAGCTACAGGAACCAATCTACCTACCTAATTGCTAACCATGCGTGGTGCCAGAAGAGGCACCACCTCAGGAGAATGGAACTTGTGTGGAGGACTCAGGTTTTCACCTAGGCAGAGGACTGTTGAGATGGGGGGAAATAAGTTGAACACCTAGAAAGCAGAAAGCTAAGATTCTGGAGCTTAGCAGATCCTCACCAAGGTGTAAAAGCCTTTTGACCCCTGCCCTCTGACCCACAGGCTGAAGCAGATGTGGCCTCTCTGAACCGCCGCATTCAGCTGGTAGAGGAGGAGTTGGATCGGGCACAGGAGCGCCTGGCTACAGCCCTGCAAAAGCTGGAGGAGGCTGAGAAAGCAGCTGATGAGAGCGAGAGGTGGGGAAGGGGTCCCTGGAGGGAGGCAGGTCAGGGACTGCAGAGGGAGGGTCCGTCCTGCCTCGCTCCTACTGGCCCTACATGCACTGCTGTCCCTGCTTCTCAGAGGAATGAAGGTCATTGAAAACCGGGCCATGAAAGATGAGGAGAAGATGGAGCTACAGGAGATGCAGCTGAAGGAAGCCAAGCACATCGCTGAGGACTCAGACCGCAAATACGAGGAGGTGACAGCCTTGTCCTGTTTCACTTTCACCCGCAATCCCCAAAGTTCCAGTTCCCACCACTGGCCTACCTCTCCCTCCCACTTCCCCTCAGGTGGCCCGGAAGCTAGTGATCCTGGAAGGAGAACTGGAGCGCTCAGAAGAGAGAGCGGAGGTGGCTGAGAGGTAAGGACACCCTGGGGCATGAGGGGACCGGTAGAACTCGCCTGAGTGTCGGCTGTGGGGCACTGCACACAGTGGTCAGGCAGTTCCCCAGGCCAGAGGCCACAGGAACAGGCCTTGTGTCTGATCTATGCCTGCTGCCCCCAGCCGAGCCAGGCAGCTGGAGGAGGAGCTCCGAACCATGGACCAGGCCCTCAAGTCGCTGATAGCCTCAGAGGAGGAGGTAGTAGCCTCTCTGGGACCTCCTAGGCACTGGCTCCATTTCTCACCTCACATCCCTCCCAGCTCAGCACCTCAGGCTGCTGTTTCTCTCCTGCAGTAGGAACTAGGGGTGGAGTAGGGGCTTCAAACTCCGCCTGCTGTCACTCTCACCACTTTGCTCTTTTCTTTTCTCCTCTACCCCTTCCCCACTGTGCCACCCCCACTGTCTCACCTCACTGTGCCCTCACGCTCCATCCTGCCACACACCCCTGCAGTAAATGTGGGGACCTAGAGGAGGAGCTGAAAATTGTTACCAACAACTTGAAATCCCTGGAAGCCCAAGCGGACAAGGTAGCGGGGTCAGAGGGGCTGTGAGGATGGGGCTGTGCACTGGGCGGAGAGGGCTTAGGTAGGGAGGGCCAGGTGCTTAATGAAGACGAGCAGGAGCCCGGGGGCTCAGTGGAGAGTTGAAGGATTTGGGGTCACGGAACGGTTCACTGACGGCGCGTTTATGTCTCTTAAAGTATTCCACCAAAGAGGACAAATACGAAGAAGAGATCAAACTTCTGGAGGAGAAGCTGAAGGAGGTGAGAATGCCTGTGGCAGGAAATTGAGGGGTGTGGCGGAGAAAGAATGGTGACTTCAGGGAGCCTCTCAGGGAAGGCTTCTGTCCTGGCCATACTCCTGTTCCTTCTTTATTCCAGGCTGAGACCCGAGCAGAGTTTGCTGAACGATCTGTGGCAAAGTTGGAGAAAACCATCGATGACCTGGAAGGTAGAAAGGATACTCCCCCTCACCCCACAATCAGCCTGACCTTTACCGCATTGTGCTTGTTAAATAAGTGGATCACCCAGGGTTCCACAGACTGGTAGGCTGTGTCTACAGTCCAGGGAATCACGGTAGGCTGTGCTAGTGCTCTTCCCAGTTTTGAATAAGTGAGGATTACCTCAAGAGTTAAAAACTGATGTCTGGGGCTGGAGAGCTGGCTTAGTGGTTAAGAGCACTGGCTGCTCTTCCAGAGGACCTGGGCTTGAGACCCAGCACCTACGTGGCAGCTCCCAGCCTTCGGTAACCTCAGTCCTAGGGAATCTGACACCCTCTTCTGGCTTCTTCGAATGCCGTACGTGCACATAGTGCACAGATGCGCAGGCAAAACACCTATACATGAGAAACGCATACGCCCATACACGTGTAGCCCTAGCTGTCCTGAAGTTCAATGTATAGACCAGGCTGGCCCCAAGCTCAGAGACCCAAGTGCCCCTTGAGTGCTGGGACTAAAGGTGTGCACCACCACCACCTGACATATTTTTTAATCTGAAAAGAAGAAAGTGTATTCCTAGGCTTGGAATGGGGGCGTCACGCATGGGGGCGTGAATGCGACACCCAGACACCATGTAAGAGCTGGACACAGTAGCCTGTGTGAATCCCGGCACTCCTGTCACCACAGGATAGGATAATGGGGTTGGAGACAGGAGAATGGCTGGAAGCTCTGGCCCAGCATTTGAAGTGATGCTAAGACCCCACCTCAGTAAAGGTAGACATGAGCATACACACCCACAGAATTCAACTGGATTCCTGAGGGCTGGAGCGGTAGGCTTTGGTTCAAAACAAAACAAAACAAAACAAAAAACCAAACCCCACAGATTCTAGACCCCTCTCCAAGTGATTACTGGTTTCACTCACTGAACATGGTCTTGCTACGTAGACGAGGCTGGAAGCTGGCTCCACAGTGCTGGGATTGCAGCCTTGGGCCACCAGCATCTTAAAGCTGATGTTGCTGGTCTTGCACAACACCAGTCTAGCAAATGGTGTCTCTAAGGACAATTCCATAGTCATATTACAGAGATACCCTGCCCCCAGTGCCGGGGATTAAACCTAACACCTAACCCCACGTGTGCTAGGCAAGTTCTTTGCCACTAAGCTATATCCCCAGCCGATATTTGACCAAATATCAGGGTTTACACAATACTGCTCATGGAAGATACTACTTTTGAGTTCTACTTAGCAAAAACAGAAATCCAGGTATTTGCTGGCCTGTGGTTATTCCTTTTATCAACAAAGGTTGCCTTTCCTCTTTATTCTGATAACCCTTTGACTTTCATTAATTCTCGTGTCTTCTGTTTCCAATCTTCTCAGGCAAGCATGGATTTTATCTCCAACTTTAGGACTTTAGATTTTCCTGGTCGGCACCCTACCTTTCCCTCTTAAGCATGCCTGTCTGTCTGCTCAGAGCACTGCCCACAGGCTTCTGGGAGACTGCAATGGGGAGAGAAAAGTCAGGGTGCAGAGGACAAAGAAAAGCCAGGGTAGAGAAGGGGAAGAGGAAGCCCGACTGCCCCGTGGCCTGTCCTCTGGCCTCTCTCTTCTGTCCATCCCTCCAGTTCTAGTTTCCATTTTCATCATCTTCTCTCCATCCTCTCCTTCTCCCCTCCTCCATTTCCTCTCCCCATGCTCCCTTCCCTCCCCCTCTTCGGACTGTCCAGATGAAGTCTATGCACAGAAGATGAAGTACAAGGCCATCAGTGAAGAGCTGGACAACGCACTCAATGACATCACTTCCCTCTGAGTCCACAACACCATGGCCATCACAGACCCCTTCTCTCTTCTCTTTCCCTTCTCTCTGAGGGGAGGTGCAGCCAGGAGGAGCATGACTGGCAACGTTGCGTAGCCAGGCTGAGGGCAGCCAAGGGAGCATGTGTATCTCTACTCCTGCCACCCACTCTGGCACTGGCTTCATCCTGCTGTCACCGTCCACTGACCTCTACCCCCTCTACCACTTAATAAACTCTGAACTTGGTCTCCATGCTGTTTTCCTACCTCCAGAGAGCTTCTCATCACTGTCAAAGCACTGTTTTACTCCTGAGACTCTGGCTTTTCCTGACACCCTCAATCCTGCGGCACTCAGCCCCTTGTACTCAGCCCTCCCACAGAACACCGTGGCTCACACAGACTCTTCTGCATGGCACTCCCAGCCTGTCACTTTCTGATAATCAGTGCATGTGAATATATGGGGATCCATCAAGCACAGCCTTACCCCCTCTCAGCAGCCCATCACCAACCTTGGTGCACTTAACTGGGATTCCAGGAATGGCTGGAAGGGAAATGGGTTGGTGAGGTCAGGAGAGGAGCCAGAAGATCAGAAACTGTCCAGGGAAGGTCGTAAAAGTATTGGATCTCTCCAAGAGGGGCTTTCACAGCAGCTGCAGGTCTGTTTTCTGTCCCTGTTCTGTCTGTCTGACCTCCCTTTCTTGGCTGGACCTTTGTCTTTCCTTCTGTTTCCAACTTCCCCAAACCTTTTAAAGGAAGGCAACCCAACCTGTTTATGATACAGACACCCCCTCTCCCCATACCATTGGTGCCAAGGCCTGGAGCAAGATCTGTGTCTGGTCAGTCCACCTGTTTGTCCCTACTGCAGGCCCCAGGTCCGTAGCCTAACATGTCCCCTGGGCCATACAGTGTCTCCTAACATGCTTTGTCACCTTTTCCTGTCGAAGGTTCCCTCCCTATATCCTACCTCCTGTTTACTCCACCTCACCTGCTGCTTCCCCTCACAGAGACTTTGGCTAGTGCCAAGGAAGAGAATGTGGAGATTCACCAGACCTTGGACCAGACCCTTCTGGAACTCAACAACCTGTAAGGGCTGGCCCTGCTGCCTGCCAGACTATATAGTTGCATCCTCAAGCCAATAAAGTGATGTTCCTGGTGTGCCAGGGCCCATTAAGCCTTTGTTGTTGTTGTTGCCAGTGGAGCTGGAAGGACCCAGATTGAGCAGGGCCTGGCTCCCATTCCCGAAGTGGGTTTCTGTTTTAAATGGGGACAATGAGGTGTGGGTTCTGGACTCGGAAAGCACGTTATAGGAAGCAGGTTTCCAGGGACTGGGGAACTATCCTGACCTTTAGTCCCTACAGGGCAGAGCCATCCATCATCCATGGCACAATTCTGTTCCAACAGTCACTGGACCAGATTTCCTGAAGGCAAAGCTGCAAGAAGGGACAGATTTTCCTCCAACAGGGGGGAAAAAGGCCCCTCAGTGTGAACTGAAGTTTAGAGGGGCGGCCAAGCCAACGTCTTCAAACAAACTGCTATGTGCTCTTGCCCTAAGGAGGTTCATATTCTAATCCAGAAAGAGGGGCTGTGGCTGAGCAAAGAATTTGAGATGGAGGAGGTTCTTTAGGCTAATGGGTCAGGGCCGATGTAATAGCAAGTTCCTTAAAGGTAGGGAAAGAGCAAAGCATGATGGTGCAGGCCTGTAATCCTGTACTGAGGCTAGAAGGATTGTAAGTCTTGATCCAGTCTGGGCTACAGAGTAACTGTCTAGAAGGGAAGGATGGTAGGGGTGAGAATAAGGTCAAGGGCAGCAGAAGATGTGATGATGGAAGCAAGGACTTGGAGTGAGGTAGGGAAGGGGACCTGAGTGAGGTAAAATCTGAAAAGGGAAGTGCTCCACTTGAGAAGGTCAGGAAGGAAACAGTGCGCTCAAGCCTGGACTAGCATAAAGTTCGTCGTCTTGAGCGTCACAGGAGCATGACCCGTGCTTGTGGGAGTTGTTTTGTTTTTTCCCAGCAACCATAAGAAATTAATACAACATACTTTCAATTCGAGGAACAAAGGCAACTACATGTGTTTTATTAGAAATATTTATTTTTTTAAATAATCAGGATGAGCCAGGCAGGAGCACATGCCTGTAATCCCAGCATTCAAGAGTCTGAGACAGGAGCCTAGGGAGCTCAAGGAAAGGGCCTGGAAGGTCAGTGGTAGAACACTTGTCTAGTATGTACAAGGGCCTGGGTTCAAACTCCATTATCACACACGCACACAGTTCAAGGCCACCCTGGGCTACATAGCAAGATCAAGGGCTATACTGCTCAGTGGTAGAGCATAGTGAGAACAAGAATTGCTAGGCAGTGATGGCACACACCTTTAATCCCAGCACTCAGGAGGCAGAAGCAATTGGATCTCTGAGTTCAAGGCCAGCCTGGTCTGCAGAATGAGTTCCAGGACAGCCAGGGCACACAGAGAAACCCTGTGTCTCATAAAACAAACAAGAAAGGAGCAAGAATTAAGTCCAGTCTTGCCTTTTCATTATACGTTTCCATTGCATTTCTTTAAGGAAAAGAAGAAAATTAAGAAGATGGAAATTATTTCTTAGTGATTAAAAAAGCTGTATAATGGCAGGACAAGGTTTCCAGATTCCTCTAGCTGGCTTCTCCTTATTAGGCTCCAGTTTCTGTCATTTCTGCTGGGCTGTAGCTAACTCTATCTTTGATCCCACTTCTGTGCCTATAGAACAAGGAACTAGAATCAGAAAAACACCACCGAATGAGCTCATTTGCAGTCCTGGAACTCTGGGTTATGCAAAAAAGGCTGTGCCACGGGAGGGCCATAGATACCTGTGCAGCCTCCCCATCTGTATGAGGAAGGCGATACTGGTGGCAGCAAAAAGAAGGCCAAACACCAAGGCTAGAATGTCACCTGGAAGGGAAAAGGGGGCGCCTCAGGGCAAGCCATCGGGTCCCTTCCGAGCTGGCTTCCCACCTCCTGAGCCTTTCCCCAGTGCTCAGGAAGCCCGCAGGGGTCAGTCTCCAGAACAGACCAGCTAGAGGATGGAGGTGGATAGTGACAGGGCTAAGACAAGCACTATTTCCCCTCCCAGCAGCTAGGTGAAAGGTGTGTTGTGGGAGAAGCATCAACTGGAGATTTCTGGAGCCTCATTCTGAGAACTAAACCAGAGGCATAGGTCCCTACCTGACCTATTACATTGATTTAAGGAAGAAATTTATTCTGCAGAAAAAGAAAAGAGTAGCTCCTGGGCACAAACACCGAAAGGGTGTTGTAGTCCCATCCCCCGTCCCCTCCCCCCCATGTCAGAGACGAGAGGGACCCAGACTCACCAGCAGCGAGGCAGGAATTCATACGGACTGAAAAGAAAAAGGAGACATTAGAGCCAGGGCACATGAAAACCTGTGACAAACTGACAAATGAAGATGCAGGAAGAGAGGGATCCATGGCAGGCGGGGGGGGGGGGGACATGGCAACATGGGCTATCAGACAACCTTCACCTGGCTCAGGGCTATTGTCCACTCCAGCAGAAAAAGAAGCCTCAATCATTCGCCCATTCAAAGGCTGTGTGTCTCGGAAATTCAGCTGTAGCCGAGAATCATGAGGTCCCCACAGGGAAACAGAGAGAGTATGGAGCTGGGGAGTGTCAACAGACGAAAAGAAGTAAGTCGCCAGCCCTCCATCTTCACCTCATGGCCCCTTGACCCGATCTCATTCCTTCCGCCATTCCCATGCTCCAGCACCGTGTCCAATACTGCACACCACTCTGACCTGCGAAGCACTCAGCTTCACTGTCTGGTTGAGCACAGTCCAGATGACTCCCTGGCTACAGGGAGGGGTAGTCAGAGATCCTTCGTATCGGTAGTACCGGCTGAGGTCCGAGGGCAGCAGGGCAGAGACATCCAGACCTGGGATCTCAGTCTTGGAGCCTGGGGATAGGTCTGTGTGAGAGCTCACCTCCATCACTTCCCCTGGAAGCTCCAGGCACAAGCACGGTTTCAGCGCTTCTCACTATGTGTGGTTAATCCAAGAGGAAGGCAAGGGCTTTGAGCGATTAGAGGATGCCTTGAACTAGGAGCCAGTTCCTCCAGCCTCCCGAGGAACGTTTATAAGCTCTCCTTTGGAGCCTTTGCTCTTCTGAGCGCGCTGCCTCACCATGCAGGACTGCTGCCTGAACCCAGAGTGGATAAAGTGGAGCTGGGCTGTAGTTCGGCGGCAGAGGCCCTGCACCCTGTCTAGTGAACACCCTCCCCCCGACAATAACATGTAAATACGGTTTAATATTTGTAACTACAGAAACCAGACAGGAAACCTAGAAGTCTAGTTAAAGGACGGTTAAAATAGCTCGGTCACTGGGAAGGGAACAAGCTTTCAACAGAAGTGGGTCTGCAGCATAGACCCAGGCCTCCCACGTGCCCTGCTGTACCGCTGAGCTTTCCCTGGGCTTTCTGGAGACCTCTCGTGTAGCGTAGGCCGGCTTCCAGCTTGGGATGCACCCACCCTCCCAAGACCTGTATCAGCATGCACTACCCTTTCCTGCTCTCAAACGTTTATAAATACAAAACATTTGATATGTATAAATGACAGACAGTTCTCAAAAGAAAAAGCTTAGCTTTCCACACTCAATCCTATAAGTTCCAAACATTTTTTTTGTTTTGTTTTGTTTTGCTTTTTGATTGTTTGTTTTTTGAGAACAGGTCTCACTATGTAGCCCTGACTGGCCTAGAACTCATTCTTTAGACCAGGTTGGCCTCAACTTTGCTTTTTTTTTTTCTTGTCCAATTTTATTTTCTGTTTGGCTTCTTTCAAATTGTCAAGCCTGTAGACAGCGTGTCCCTGTTCCCATTTTCCTCGTTATTACCAATATTGGAGCCAGTTCACCCTCAACCCCTCTCTTTCTCCATTCTCAGCTCTGCAGTTCCTTGGGCAAGCCACAAACTGACCTTCCTCAGCGATTTCTTCCAAATGTGACAGCAATTGTTCATAGGCGCTGTTTTCCTCTGGGCCCTCCTGCAGGGGTGGACGTGGGATACAATGCAAGGCAGATTGATACCTGTTTCTTGGACCACAGTTGGAAGCCTGAATATGAGATGGGGTTCAGGATGGGGCTCCCACAGTCTTTCTCCATTCCTCACCGTTAAGAATGCTGAGGAATATAAAATCATATTATTCAAATTCTATTACTCTTGCTTTGCAAATGAATTGCCTTGGTATACTGGATTTCACTGGCAAACTGAAGGAGGAGAAAATTTACTAGGATGCTTGGCCCTTTGGGATATGAACCCTACTAATTTTCATGGTTTACACTCATCATTATTTCCACATACACTCCATGGTCTCCTGAAGAAAGCCATAATGCATTTAGCACTTGTGTGAGCTTTACTAATTCACGGATTTGACTCTTTTTTTAAAAGATTTATTTATTATTTATACAACATTCTGCCTGCACACCAGATCTTACTATAAATGGTTATGGGCCACCATAACATGAGGTTGCTGGGAACTGAACTCAGGACCCTTGGAAGAACAGTGAGTGTTCTTAAGCTCAGAGCCACCTCTCCAGACCCCGGGATCTGACTCTTGGAGCGCGGTGCTGCACGCTGCTTCTGAGGCACTTCTCTGAACTCGGTGAACTTCACACTAGTGAGTGTTGTAGGGTCTCATCCCCTCGCTTCCTGGCCTCCTTCTACGTGGCGTGTGCACTCTTGATCATTAACAGGTACAAAGAGCCCACTGACTACTGCACTTGATAAAGGGAAAGCGATGGGTGACAGAAGTGACAGAGAAACGACTCCTCCCCTGCCCAGTTTGTGGCACGTGGCGTTCCCTGAATGGTCCATACTCTATCTTTGTTCACTGTCCTCTCTCTGTGTAACAGTCCTCCTTCTTTCCCTTTAGTGAAGATTTAAGTTTCACCCTCCTCTACGGCCACTATTTTGAGTGTTCTCCGTTTACAACTGTCAAGTCAGCCTTCTGCTACTTGAGGGCTCCTAAAGAAAGCCTTCCTGCTCGTGCTGAATGAACCCACAGAGGAGAGAATGGGCTGACCGCTAATTGACCAGCTTGAGCATGTGCTGGAATGGGTTCTCTGTTAGCGAGACACGGGAACCCAGTGGCTTTGAGTGACAAGTGTGGTACCTGCAGAAGGACAGCCAAAACAGCCAGGCCTCCTGGGCGACCCAAGGCTTCACGGAGTTCCGAGAAAGCGGTACTGAGGTGGACCACGTGGATCTAGAGAGGATGTAGGGGACACAGAGAGGCTAGAGCTCTGACCACACCCTCTTGGCTCCTCTTGGGATGCCAGCGCCTACCTCAGCAGGGAACCGGTGGCCGTTGACAGTGTGCTCTGATCCTGGGCGGTCCGAACTTCCCCAGTGCAGGTGCAGCTGCAGGGCCAGGTACTCCTGCCCCGGTCCCAGGGCCATCCTCAGACCCGGCGGCAGAGTCAGCTGCACTGCGTGGGAGGAGCAAGTGAGCACCCGCAGAACTCCAGAGCGCAGCCTGATTGCCCCTCCCCTCCGTAGGTCCCGCCCCGACACCTCACCCGTGTGGCCGTTGTTGCAGAGGCTCAGTTCCTGGCGAGGCTGGCGCCCGTAGCCGACGAGTTCCAGGGGTTGCAGAGCGCGGCAGAAGACGGTGAGCTCCGGACGGATATCTACGGGGGACTGAAAGCGGCCAGCACAGGCCGGGGACACCTGGGGCCAGAGTAGGGTGTCTAGGATGAGAGGAAAAGGTGCAAGAAGTCTGCTGACTGGGATAGGAACTGTTAGGATGAGTGAGGGGTGGGGTCAAGAGGTGAGGCAGGGTGAGGCGGGAGAGGGGAGAGGAGGAGAGTGTGGACTTGGGTCCAGACTAGAACTAGTACTGGGTGCCTGTGCTGCCGATCAGGAGGGCTGGACCATCTGCAGATTTGGTCTGTGTAGTGGACCGTGTCTTACCTCCATAGCTCCAAAGACTGTGGCCACTCCCTGCATAAAGGAGAAGAATTCACAAGCCCACTGTTAAAGCCCAGCTCCTTCCCAGTGCCCAGAATGAAAGACTTTCTCCCACTCTGGCAGTGGCTTCAGAGCTGTCTTGCAAGAGTGTTACAGGTAATAGAAATGAATGTATCAGGACAGGTGCCAAGCACAGTGAACTACCACCAACCATGGCCTGCCAACTGGGGGAGCCATCAGCAGACCCACTGGACGACAGTTCGGAACCTGCTAGGATCTGCACAGTGGCTTCAGTTTGCAGACCCAGATCATCGTTCTTTTTCACTCATCTCACCTTCCCACTCATCCCTTTTCCCTAAAGTTCCTGGCTTAGAGCCAACATGGTGGTGCACACCTGAAACCCCAGAACTCAGAGGTGAAAGCAGTTCAAGGCCACCCTGATCTACACAATGCGACCCTGGCTTGCCCCTCCCTGACAAAGCAATCCCAAGTATCTGCACCTGTTGATCGCTTTCCAGCACTGCAAACTGTAGGTGAGTGATGGCTGTGGGCTCCCTGTGGGTCCTCTAGAAGCCCCTTCCTTCCCTTCCCTTCAATTTTGCCCTTTTTTCTTTTCCATCTCTCCCAACTAGTGTGGGCTCTGTCCTCCCCTGAAAGGGAGAAAGGCTATTCGTAGAGCAGCTGCTCCCTACTGAGGCTGGCTGGGGAGGGAGGCATAGGCTACCTGCCTAGACTGGGAGGTAATGACCACTTACCTTTTTCATCCCGGTGGGGACTTTGACTGTCCTTAGGAGCCCCCACAGTGAGGAGACCCTCTAACTTGAGGGAATCCTCCTTCCCGGCTTTAGAATTCGCTCCAGGTGCGTCCTCTCCACCAGGAGGATCCAGCGTTCCAGGTGCGTCCTGTTCACTGGGCAGATTCTCCAAGCCCAGATCATCCTCCCCAGAAGAACTTTCTCCCAAGGAGGGCTCCCCCGGCATCCCGGACAGGCCCTGGGGATGAGCAGAAGCTAGGAGCAGCTGGAACAGCAGCAGCTGCGCAGCAGGGGCTGGGATCAACAAAGCAGCCCGGGGGCTGGGGCCCGGGGAAGCCATGCTGCGGACTGGGGTGCCCCAGGACACAGTGTACGGGCAGTACGTGCATCGGAAATAAGAGCTGGTGGGGGAGGAGCAAGCCTTGAGGGGAGCAGGCTGACTCACAGAGTGCCCTTTTGTAGAGATGGAGCCAAAGTCCTACAAGTCTGACTGGCCATGTGCCCCCTCCCCGATACCAAAGCCTGGACTCAGGGGTGAGGGGCAGGTGTGTTCACAGGCAGAGGGTTATCAGGGTCACCAGCTCAGCCTGGAGCCCAAGGCACCACCTGGCACTGTATAGGTTCTCCCTGGCACCACCCAGTTCCTGCCTGCCAGCCTCTGGAAGGCCTGGCCTGCTTCCCAGCCCCGACAGGGAAGGCAAAAGAAGGGGGGGAGCTGGTGCCCCCATGTAGATGGGCTGAGAAGGCAAGAAACCCATGTATATTTCCTGGCCCAGTCAGGGCGCAGGTAAAGATACTGGAGGGGCCTACGGTTGAGTAGGTGGAGAGGCACACAGGGAAGTCAGAGGCGAATTTGGGCATGAATGTTTTCGAGAGAGAACATATGAGAGAGAGACTCTGATGTCTCCCCCACTGCCTGCCAAAGTGTTTTTTTTCCTGACTTCCAGGTCTTCAAAACCTCATCCAAGAAACCATTCTGTCTTGTCTCTTGCTTTTTCCCCTAATGTTCCAGTCAGATTATTTGTGTGTGTGTCTGTGTGTACTTTTTGTTTGTTTTTCAGTGCTGGTGACAGAATCCAGGTGACATGCGTGCAGACAATCACTCTTCTACTGCTCTGAACTATTCATTTTTCTGTTACACTCCCAGCCCTGAACCATTCATTTTTCTCTTCAAACTTCTCACTGCTCTTGTTAACCTAAGTCTTGGTGCCATTCATGTTTGCATTCTGCATCCGGTATGTTAAGCACTGGGATATGGACTAGGGGTACGGAAATGAAAATGAAGACTCCCTATCTGAGGAGCTCTCATGCCAGTGAGTGAGGGAAAATAACATAATTCCACCTCAAGAATACGGAAGCAGGCAAAATCTGTTCCCACCCTTTGAAGAAGAAGTAGGAGCTCCATGGGTTGGGGGTTGATAATCACAGTAAGAAGGATGGTATTCTGGGCAAAGAAGATACAGGAAATATCTTGAACAGAGGATGGCCAGATGGCTCAATGTGTAAAGACACTTGCCACCATTCTGATGACCTGACTTGGAACCCCAGAGTCAAGATGGTGGAAAGAGAGACCCATCTCCTATAAATTGTCCTCTGTCCCCTGTATGCACACAACGAATAAATAAAGAGATGCAAAAAGAAACCCTCTGAAGAGAGTGGAAGAACTCAGCTCTCATATTAGGCCATGTTGAAGACAGCTACGAGCATGGATTGCACAGGGAAGCTGGGTCTAAAGAACAGATGTGGGGCTCCCAGTCTGTTCACTTAGTGAACATTTACCCCGAGCCTGCTGTTGTCTGCAAACATGCAGCCTAGAATAAAAGACAGCTTTTAGTTCTGCAGCTCACACCCACAGGTGACCCCATGGCCTCAGCAATTACAAAGAAGGAAGGGCCACTTCAAGTCTCCGTTATGCAGTGACATGCACCGGTGTGGCCGAAAAGGTTAACTGAGTGCACTGAGCTGTTCTTATTCCTGGTGCACACAGGTCCATCCCAGGGCTCCAGGTAACCCTGCCTCCCCAGCTTCCCTCTGAGCCCTTTCTAGCTGATTCCTGGTCTGAAGGGTAAGACCTAGTACAAAAGGGTCCAAGGACCCTCATCTGAGAGACCCAATCAGGTTTAACTTTGGTTATTACTTTTTAATTTATTTATTTTTGTTTCATGTACATTGGTGTTTTGCCTGAATGTATGTCTGTGTGAGGGTTTTGGAGCCCCTGGAGCTGGAGTTACAGACAGTTGTGAGCTGCCATGTAGGTGCTGGGAACTGAACTCAGGTCCTCTGGAAGAGCAGCTAGTGCTCTTAACTACAGGGTCATCTCCCTAGCCCTTAACTTTGGTTATTAATCTTTGTAAACCATGGTGTTAAACACCATAGTGTTAAATGTTTTCATTATCTTACTTTTCTAAATCCCTTCTATGCTTTGACTCAGTTCTTAGACAACTTCTCCAGGAAGCTTTTTTCTTTTATTTTTTAATTTTTAATTATGTGCATATATGTGAGTATACATGTGTGTTTGTGTATGTGTGCATATGCATGTAAGAACAGATACCCATAGAAGCCAACGGTGTTGGATCCGTGTGTGTGTGTGTGTGTGTGTGTGTGTGTGTGTGTATTTGGATGTGGAGGCCAGAGGGCAACTTTATGTATGGAGTCAGTTCTCTTCTAACTTTATGTGGATTCCAGGGATCAAACTCAGGTTGTCAGCGGTCACAGAAGTAGACAGGACCATGCTGCTAACCGGAGCCTAGAGGCTCCATGGATACCTTTCTCCAATACCAATCTCAGCTTTTATTTCATTGTCCTTCTTTCTAAATACTCTGAACAGTTCAGCCTTGTCAGGATTTTTGTATACTTCCTGGCAGCACCCTGGTCTCACATCTCAGGCACATCTCTTCCTCCATGTATAGACTTCCTCCCATCATGCCAGGCTTGCAGGCAAGTGGCTTTATCTGCTGAACCATCTTGCTAAGGCAAGGAAGCCTTTCTTAGCCAACCCTCTGCTGCCAGTCTGGAAGAGTTCAATGGTGCTTCTGAACCCTTCTGTGCTTGATGCTTGACTTCAGTAGTAATCTTGCTCACAACTTAATTCATATTATGATGATTGATGACATTTATCTGCTCTATTAACCTTGTACCCCATGAGGGCAGGGTTCATGGAGTCAATCTTTTATTCAAGGGCTCTTATCAAGTATTTTCTCCCTGTAGAACACCCTGTCAGATTATCTTAGGGGCTCATTGTCAATGACTTGGGTGTGCCAAACCACACGTGCCCCCCACAAAACCCTCCTGTTGTTGTTTGGGACATGGCCTCACTATGTAGTCCTAGCCGGGCTGGAACTCAGTCTGTAACCTTAAACCCTATATAATCTTGCCTTAGCCTCCTGTGTGCTGAGATTACAGGGAAGTATCACCATGCCCAACGTGAAATTAGTTTTATGGTACTTCAAATTGTCTGCCAGTCATATTGTACATCAAAATTTCTATGGCTGAATAAAGTTGTTCTCCTTGTCTCATCTTAGAGGGTAGCTAGCCAAGGACTCTAGGTTGCCTTTCGGGGAGTGCAATGTGGTCACTCAGCATGCACAAGGAGTTTAGCACCATCCCCGCCATTTGCACTCATGTACTCTGAGAGCAGTCTTTTGTTTTCAGAACCTTGTTTGGGCTTGTCAAAGGCAGACTACGGTAAGAGCTGGTCTAGTCTGGGATGAAGAGACCACAGGAGCAGAGGCTAACCGGAGCTTAGAGGCTGCATGGATTCCTTTCTCCAACACTAATCTCAGCTTTTATTCTCTCCCTTCTTTCTAAATATTCTGAACATTTGTCTGGTCAGGCTTTTGGATACTTCCTGACAGCACTGTGATCCCATATCTCTTTTCTCCATCTATAGAGCCTTGTGTCTGTGCTTCGGAGCCCATATCTGCCTGCAGGCACAGCACTGGGTTAGAGTTTACTAACTTTCCAAGTGTTCTTTTCTACAGTTCTGTGTCAGCCTCTTTATGCGGCCAGTTCCCTGGTCTGGGTGGAGATGTGGACTATGATCCTGGATCACACCATTATAACTCAGGACTCTGCCAAACCTTGAGGCTAGAGCTCCGAGTCCTTGATTCCTGAATCTAAGTAACTGGGACACTCCCTGCCTGGCCCAGGACACCTCCAAGTTTTTAAAGCCAGGTCTTTGGTCACTGGGGTCTGTGTTTCTAAACACTCGGTTCCAGGAGAGGGAGTTATTGGTGGAGTAGGAGAAAAGCCCCCTTCTTCCTGATCATGGATTGGAAGCAAAGATCAGGGTGATCATTGGTGACACATTCCTTTAATCCCAGCACTTGAGAGGCAGAGGTAGATGAATCTCTGAGTTTGACTAGCCTGGTCTACAGAGAGGGTTCCAGGACAGCCAGGGCTACACAGAGAAACCGTCTCAAAAAAAAAGAGGAGGAACCAAAGATCAAAGCTGCTTTGAGGTCTTGAGGCTGACCTGTAGTTCTAGCCCACTGCACCATTAACCACAAAAAAACACCATAAACCCGCAAACCGGGTGTCTTATGGCAATGGATTTTTTTTTAAAACCTCAGTGTTATGTAGGCCTTCAGGCTGAATGAAGTGTATTGACAGGCACAGGCTCCCTCCCAGGCTCTGTGGAAGGCTCTTTTGTTGGCATTCCTGGATTCTAGTGGTGTACACCCCCCAGCAGAAGGAGGCAGAGGGAGGCAGAGATTTGTGAGTTTGAAACTAACCTGACCTACATAGAGAGTGACAGGCTAGCCAGAGTTACATGGTAAAACTTTGTGTCAAAATCTAACAGCAAAAACAAGTAAGAAAAAAAAAAATGAGGCCGCAAAAATTCTTACTTATACCTGCAAAGACCCTTTCTCCAAGTCTGGGGGTTACCATGGACATGGAAATGAATACGTTTTTATGTAGCCACCATTTAGTTCAGCAGTGTAACTGAAGTGGATGAATTTCAAGATGCCCTCAGGGTATATCCTCACCCTTACCTTCTTCTGCCAAATAGACAATACTCCCAACCTGAGTTTATAGTGGTCTGTATTCCCAGCCCTTCTCCCACCCACCTAAAGAATACTCACACCCACACCCCCCACACCTCCCACAAAGCTGGGTTCAGTAGCACATGCCTGTTACCCCAATAGGCAGATTGCTGTGTGTTCTAGGCCAGCCTGGTCTACAAAGCTGGTCCAGGATAGCCAAGGCTACACAGAAAAACCCTGTCTCGGAAAGCAAAAACAAAAAAAGAATATTCACAAGCTTGCGACATAGTCAAACATACCCAGAACCAATTGTGCCTCAGGTTTTATACCTGAGGCATGTTCTTTGATTCTTCCGTTCTTCACATGTGTGTGTGCCTGCATGCATTGATGTGTGTCATGTGCATGCAGAAGCCCTAGGAGGGGGCGTCAGGAGTTCCAGGCAGTTGCAAGCCGATATGTGAGTGCTGGGAATTGAACCCAGGTCTTCTGCAAGAGCAGCCAGTGCTCGTAACCTCTGAGCCATGTCTCCAGTCCTGAGTCCTAGTCTTACTGCTCAGGTCGACATGATCCACAAGGCACTATCTGTGCTCATCCACATTTGAACTGTTCTAGTGTGGACTGTCCTCCATTTGCTTCTCTCTTGTGCTGATTATTTGAGAGAGTTTCAGCTACATGGCCCAGGCTGGTCTCACACTCACAGCAGTCACCCGGCCTCAGCTTTCCATGTGCTGGCTGGGATTAGAGCTGTAAGCCACTGGTCTCTCTTTTCACTTGAGACAGTGTCACTGGCCCTTCACCTGGTGTCAGCAGTTTTCTTGGAACCCAAACAGAAGAAACAGTCTGGTCCAACCTGCCCTTTTCTCCAAGGCTTTCAGGTTGCTCTTCTCTGACCTAGGCTTAGCATTTTAACATTTTTAGGATTCTTAGAATGTCAGAGCTGGAGGGAGCTTAGAACCCTGGCAGTCCCCTGCTTCTTGGCTTGGGGCCCAGATTCCTAAGAGTCCAAAATGGAAGAAAAGTGGTCTAATGTTTCTTACATTTAGTTTCCCAATACAAAATGTATTTTACAGTTACAAAATAGCACATGCTCAGGAAACTTGGGGAACTGAAGAAGAGTCTTAGGGAATTTAAAATATCTCCCTACTTGTACCATTTTCACCTAGACTCTTAACTTCAGTATTTCACTGCCTGGCACAGGGAGACGCTCATTTGTTCAATAATCTCCAGTCTCATCTTTAGAGATTAAAAACCACAATTAGGTTTTGACTGCTTAGCCTTTCAGTCTTTTATGTTCATTTTTATGCAGAGGAAATCATATTACATAAACGACTCTGTAGCTTGCCTCTTTTTCTCTCTTGGCATTATACTTACTCTGGGTATTTTTTAATTTTGATAGTTTTTTAGAACACACACACATATTTGTATTTGTTCTTTTGGTTTTTTGAGACAGTGTTTCTCTGTGTAGCCTTGGGTGTTCTAGACTCACTTTGTAGACCAGGCTGGCCTTGAACTCACAGAAATCTGCCTGCCTCTGCCTCCCAGAGTGCTGGGATCACAGGCGTGCACCACTGTGCCCAGCTATGAACTTTTTCTATTTAAAATTATTTAATTATTTTATATGTATAGGTGTTTTCCCTATGTGTGTGTCTGTGTACCGCATGCATGCCTGGTGCCTAAGGAGGTCACAAGAGGGTGTCTGATCCGCTGGAACTGGAGCTGCAGACAGTTGTGGACCGCCATGTAGGAGCTGAACCTGGTCCTCTGGAGGGCAGCCAGCACTCTTGACCAATAAACTCTTTCCAGCCCTCACCCCCATCTTTAAAAAAATCATTTTTATGATTTTAAAATTATGCTTGTATCTGTATGAGAGATAGCTGGGCAGTTAAGCGTGCTCCCTGCTTTCCCAGAAGACCTGGATTTGATTCCCAGCACTCACATCAGGTGGCCACAACTGCCCATGACCCCGACCCCAGCTCCTGGGCCATCTTTGGACTCTGTGGGCACCGGACTCACCTATAAACATACCCCACTCCCATGTACACATACCCTCCCACATGAACATATACTTTTTAGAAGTGAAAATAAGGGTTGAAGAGCTGGCTCAGAGGTTAAGAACACTGGCTGTTCTTCCAAAGGTCCTGAGTTCAAGTCCCAGCAACCACATGGTGGCTCACAACCATCTACACTGAGATCTGGTGCCCTCTTCTAGAGTGCAAATGCTGTGTAAATAAATAAATCTTAAAAAGGAAGAAAAAGTGAAAAGAAATACTCAAAAAGAGTTTCCTGATGCATACTGGCAAGACAGCACTCACTGCTAATTTACCTTACAGGGGTGTACCTCCAGTTCCTCACGGTCCTAAGGAAAATTTAGAACATTTTCTTTTTGATAAGGTAACGCAACTCGTCTACGCCGCCAGCCTGTGACTGGAAGCATCGCTCGGAGAGGGAACACCGAGCTGAGTCAAAAAGCTGCTTTGGTCAGAATGGCGGGGAGAGGACGTGACGGCGACTGAAAGGAGTGGAGGGAGGGGACACTTCAGTTGGGATGTATTGTATGAGAGAAGAGTTAAATAAAAAAAAAAAAAAAAGGCTGGGCAGTGGTGGCGCACGCCCTTAGTCCTAGCAAAGGCAGGCGGATCTGAGTTCCAGGCCAGCCTAGTCTTCAGAGTGAGTTCCAAGACAGCCATGGCTACACAGAGAAACCCTGTCTCGAAAAATCGAGAGCGAGAGAGAGCATAAACACGAACTGCCACATTCCTAACTCCTCACCAGAAGCTAGTTGGTGGTCCAGCTTAGATCAGTATGAAATGAAAAAAAATCCAGACTGTAGAGTGCTTGCCTAGAATGCAGGAGTGGGTTCCATCCACACCGCGTAATCTCAGTACTGGAAGCCGGAGCAGCAGGGTAAACTAAGGTCCTCAAATGCAGCGCAAGGGCGGCCTACGCTAAAGGTCTCTACCACGGCAAAGACGAGCTGAAGGACAGACAGTAACTTAAGACTTACACACTTGTCCAAAGCGCAAAGGTTCCTAGTCAGGGAAAGCACTGGGAAAGACGGGGCCGTCGCTTTACTGTCCGGCGAGGGCCCAGGACGCAGTGTGCACCGCGACTATCCCCACATTAGCAATTCCAGCCCCTGAAGCCCGGTCGCCCCGGCGGCACCTGGCGACCTCGCCGAGCAGCTGTAGCGCCGCCCTGGCGGGTGGGGCAGATACGGGCAGGGGGACCCGCCCCTAGCCGGCCCGCGCACGCTCTCTGCCCCCGGCCGCGGCCCCACCCCGCCCCGCCCCGCCAGCGGTTGGAATTTGAATCTCCGGCGCGACGCTGCGGGAAGCCTCAAACCCTGGGCCAAGCATGGAGAGCCCCGGCTCTGCCGCGCGCTGCCCGGTGCGCCAGCAGCGTGCTCGCTGGGAACGGAAACGCGTCTGCACCGCTCGGGAACTGCTGGAGACCGAGCGGCGCTACCAGGAGCAGCTGGGGCTGGTGGCCACGGTGGGGCTCGGTGGGGGTGTGGGAGGGTCGCAGGCCTTTGCTTCCCCGAGGCTCTGGCTGCACTTGACGCTGGCGTCCTCTTGGTATAGTACTTCCTGGGGATCCTGAAAGCCAAGGGGACACTACGACCACCGGAGCGCCAGACCCTCTTTGGGACCTGGGAGCTTATCTATGCCGCCAGCCTGTGAGTGGAAGCTGCAGGGAGAGGGAGCACCAAGCCGAGTCGGAGAGGCCAAGTTCATCTGCCAACTCTCTCATCTGTGGCCTTGGCCCAATGCCTTAACCTGCCTGCGTCTGCAGCTGTAAAATGGGATCATGGCACTACCTCCAAGGCAGGGTTATGGGAGGTGTATGAGTCGTTGGCCTGCGCTTTTACTGCCCTTTGCCCACACAGGGAGCTGCTTCCCTACCTGGAAGAAGGACAGTGGGGCCCCGGGCTACAAGGCTTCTGCCCACACCTGGAGCTCTACGTCCAGTTTGCTGCCAATGCAGAGAGGTCTCGGACTACCCTTCAGGTAACCTGCAGGCTGTCTCTGCCTCCTTCACCTTAAATCTAGACACCTAAAGTTTCCTGCACTTAGAGCCCAGCTCCTTGCTAACATCCCGAGGAGGGAAACCTAGCTGAGAGCACGTACAGATGAACACAGTGTAAGGAGAGGCTTCTCACCCTCTGAATCCAGGAGCAGCTCAAGAAGAATAAGCGTTTTCGGAGGTTCGTGCAGCTTCAGGAAGGCCGCCCTGAATTTAGGGGTCTTCAGCTCCAGGACCTGCTCCCTCTGCCCCTGCAGCGGCTCCAGCAGTGAGTGAATCCCTCTAGACTGGGATTAATCTTCTCAGGCTTCATAGCTGCTGTCCCCGAGTATGCTGAAGCCATACTTTCTATCCCAATTCTGCCTTTCTCTGCCAAACCGCCTTTTTTTTTTTTTTAATTTCTTTATTTTACCTATGTGTGCTCTATTTGCATGTACACCTGCATGACAGTAGAGTGCACCAGATCTTATTATAGATGGTTGTGAGCCACCGTGTGCTTGCTGGGAATTGAACTCAGGACCTCTGAGCCATCTCTCCAGCCCGCCAAACCGCTTCTAAGGAACTTTTTTAAAATAGTATTCTGCCTGCATGTGTGCCAGCAGGTCATAAGAGGGCACCAGATCTCAAAACCGATGGTTATGAGCCACCTGGGAATTGAACTCAGGACATTCAAGAGAACAGCCAGTGCTCTTAACCTCTGAGCCAACTCTCCGGGCCCCTCTAAGGAACTTTTACCAGAGTAAATGTGAGCCCAAGGGGTGCCCAGGCCTGAGCCTCAGGCCTGGGGCTGTGGGGCTGTATTCTGAAGTGAGGGAACCTGCACTAAGGGCTGGAGATAGACTATCTGGAAAAGCTCATTGACAAGAGGGGTAAGCCTCGTCTTCAAGATCTATTCCAGGGCTCACAGGTTGTCTGTGGTAGCCTTCTGGGTTTGATTTGGTTTCATCTTGTGTCCCAGCCTCCTGACTCTTCATTGTGGGATGGACCATAATGAGCCCAGATTCTGGGTCCCAGGTTAAAGAGGGGCAACAGAGGAGCCAGGCCTTTCCTGATCTGACGATTAAGAAATGCGTATCTGGCTGGAAAGAGCACTGTGTGCTCTTTCAGAGGTCCTGAGTTCGACTCCTAGCAATCCAACCACATGGTGGCTCACAGCCATCTCAATTGGGATCCGATTCTACATGTAGATAGAACACTCATATACATAAATAAATCTTAGAAAGAAAGGGACACCTGGGAGCTGATCTTCAGGTCATATGAAAGAAACTAAGGCCTTTTGCCAGGCTCTGCTTCACTTCCTAATGTCTGTTTCCAGGTACGAGACTCTTGTTGTGGCTTTGGCTGAGAACACAGTTCCCAATAGCCCTGACTACCACCTGCTCACACGTAGGTTCTCGTCCTCCCCAACTCAGGCTGCCTGTGCTGAGTGCCCCTCTGCTCCTGGCCCCCAACAGTGTCTGTTCTGTCCCTGTCTGCCCTGCCTTCAAGAAGCTAGTCCTGATCCAGGCCCCTTCAGACTAGCTTGTCTTTCACTGTCGATAGCCACTCAAAGCCAATGTTCTGTTGGGAGTGAGGTACAGGGGTGCTGTTCCAGGGGCTGCCCGCCTGGTGAGTGAGACTGCCCAGAGAGTCCACGCCATTGGCCAGAGTCAGAAGAATGACCAGCACCTGCGGCGTGTCCAGGCTCTTCTCAGTGGACGAAAGGCGAAAGGGCTCACTTCAGGTAGACTGTGGACTTTGCCCTTTAGTCCTCAATTGCCCCTTTGTTACTCACTCCTCTTCCTCCACAAAGCCAGCATACTGGGCTGGCAAGATGGCTCAATAGGTAATAGCACTTGCCTGATGAACTGAGTTATAATTGGAACCCACAGAAGGTGGAAGTAGAGAACTGACTTTACCTCCACATACATACATATTACCTTCCCATACCCGGATTTCCTGTCTTTCTGTGTTCCCATGGATTCTTGAGCTGTACGACAATGCTCTCTCGTTTTCAAGGACGCTGGTTCCTAAGACAAGGCTGGCTACTGGTGGTGCCTCCCACTGGGGAGCCTCGGCCCCGCATGTTCTTCCTTTTCTCTGACGTGCTCCTCATGGCCAAGCCTCGGCCCCCATTGCACCTGCTGAAGAGTGGTACCTTTGTCTGCAGAGCCCTGTACCCCATGTCCCAGTGTCAACTTAGCAGGATCTTTGGCCATTCAGGAGGACCTTGTGGTGGTTTGCTCAGTGTAAGTAGCAATTGGGACATCTGGGTCCAGAACATACTTCAAGTACTTACAGACCAGCCTATCACTTGGCCTGGGTCCCTTGTTTTATAAGAATAAGGGGATTGTTGGGGCTAAGCTTTCATAATTGATCATCATCTTATCCCTGAATTAATGTCATGGAACCAGTGAGGGCCTCAGCCCGACTTGCTCTGAACTAAGTGGTTTCTCCCTAGCTGTCCTTCCCCCATGAGAAGCTACTGCTCATGTCTGCTGACCAGGAGGAACTGTCACAGTGGTACCACAGCCTGACTCTGGCTGTTAGGTAGGCCCTGTCTTCCCTTGGGGAGTGGGAGCTTGCCGTGAAGGGCTGGAAGGGAGTGCTTCTCTCACAACAGGGCCTCCCCCACCCCCACAGGTGATGGAAGAGGGCACTCATTCCAGTGCCTGGGCTGACTGTATTCTTCCCACAGAAGCCAGAAGAGCTCGACTCACAGAAGTGTCAATGCAACATGACACTGTCACCTACAGCTGATGTGTGGGCCACAGTCACACCTCTCCCGGGGTACATGTGGCAGCTGGGCATGCCCGTGAAGAAGCTTATAGACGGAACTCAGGACACCACAGAGCCATTTAACTAGCTCCTGAAGAATCAGAAAGCAGGCTTCCTTCAACCCAACTGGGCCTCAGTTGAACCATGCCACCAGGGGCCTCAGGACTGCAAAGCGCCTGCTGTTGTGGCCAGCTGTTCATTCAATTTGTAGCTTTGTAAAGGAAGCCACTTTCTGTTACCTGTGGTTGTTTTTATTTTTGAGACAGGGTCTTACTATGTGACCCAGGCTGGCAGCGAGCTTGAATTCCTCCTGCCTCAGCCTCAAAAGTGTTGGATTTACAGGTGTGTCCTGCCATCCCGCCTCACCTGGCTATTGTATTTAGTTTCTTCTTGAGACAAGCTTTCATGTAGCTGAGGCTGGTCTTGAATTCCAGATCCTTCTGAACTACCTCTTCTGTTGTAAAAGTTCTATAATTTATTTTCCCACTGGATTTTAATAAAGTACTGTTTTGTTTTGCTTTTGGAAAGGCCTTTCTGTCTAAATCTTAAAAAAAATGAGTTTGAGCCTTGATGGCTGGCTTATTGGTAGCTTCAGGAACACAAGGGAAGAACTATAGCTCCCTCTGTCTTCTCCATTCACGGTCTGGAAGGCAGTCTCTCTCTTCCTAATAAGGGAACCTTTTCTGGGAGGCTCGGTTGGCTTAAGCACCTAGTATGCATGTGTCCACCAGCAGCTGTGAGTGGGAAAAGCACAGAGGAGCACCCAGTACAAGCTTTGTTTTACTAAATCTTCAGTGGCTGTTCCCCTTGCTGCTGGGCCTTTGCCACAGCCTTGTGCCACCTTCTCCGCAGCCCCTGCTCCACCTCCCACGAGGGAGCTAGGTTCCAGGTCTCTGGGATCCAGTTTATGGGCTCCGCCCAAGCCTGACTGTTTCCAGCTTCTTGGTCCTCAGGAGAGGGTATGCTGGCCTCTGTGAGGAAAAGATCAGCTTGTTCCAGCTGCACAGCCTTTGTCTCCCAGCCATCAGACACCTCCCAACCGATTACCTGGTTCTGGAAATTCCACCCCTGGGCCAGGCTTGCAGTCTTGTAGAAGCTGGTGGATGGTCTTTAGCTTCGTGTTTAGGAGTGCCCGCTGGGCTCCAACCAGCGTGGTCACCCTGCAGAGATACCCACTCAGGGGCTGCTCCATCCGCCTCCTTGGCTCCCACCTCACCCCACAAATTCTCACCGCTCAAAAAGGGGATCCAGCTGGGTCATCAGATTGTTCAGGTGCTGTTCCGTCTGGGCCAGCTGCTGTGTCAGCTGCACCAGCTGTTGTTCTGGGAGTAAGGTAGATGGATGGTTACTCCTGCAGTCCTCTGATCTGCTCACCACCCCCCACGCCGGGGAACCACTGCTGTTCAGCCCACCTGACTGCAAGGATTTCTTCTTGTTTTTTTCCTCTTGGAGAGTGGCCGCCTCATCTGGGCCCTGTCGTGGAAGCAGGTAGGAGTGAAGCTGCAGCAAAGGCCCCAGCACCTCATAGTGAAGAGAAGAGCCATAAAGAAAGCTCTGGGCATTCACCTCAGAGAATCACGATTGTTTCTACTCCAGCTGCTCCCCAGAACATGAAGCAACGTATGTGTCAGTATGTCCACACATGGCCAGACTGCTAAAGCACTCCTTGGAATGTGAAACTACAGTAGGAATTTGAAGACTGGCCATACTTCTGCCTTCTTATTTAGCATCCTTACCCCGTTGTCTTTGAGACAGGCCTTGAACTTCAGTCCTCCTGCCTTAACCCCCAGAGTAGCTGGGATAACAGACCTGTGCCTCCCAGGTCCAACTCCCTCAGTCTCCGCTGGTATAAAATCCCTGATCTGTTCAGTTTTCAATTCACATCCCCATTCCAGGTTTTTACTGATTAGATGGTGCTCTTTGCTCTTAAAGGCAGTGTCCTTGGGTTTATTTTTAGGTTCTCTGGAAAGTGGGAAACTATCAGCTGAAATGCCCCCATCCCTTCCACAGGTGCCAAAGCTCTTCCTGTTTAACTCCATGCATAAGACAGGATACACTTTTCTGTTTGTTTCTCTGTAGCAGCCAACTAGCTCTTTAGAGGTTGGCCTCCAATTCAGGTATCTTTCTGCCTCTGTTTCCCGAGTGTCGCTACACTTTATTCATCTATCATTAATTCCAATATTAATCCTAGCCTGTCAAGTGTGCTTGGGCTCATTAATGTCATCTAGTTTTATGTCACTAGTTCAGCCTCTATTTCCTAGTACAAGGAACTGGTGAGGGTTGAAGACACAGCACTGGGTATCTTTTCAACAGTTTCAAATCCATCAGAATGTACTGTCAGTTCACACCTCAGGGCTTCCTTCCCCAGGAGAAAGTGGCAGGCCTGGCGGCTGGCTCACTAGACACATGGCTGCTGCAGCCTCGGCATTAACCGCACTTGTGTTGGGTTAAAATCCCCCTTCCAGGAGACACTAAGTGGATCCGCTGGAGTAAGACCGGCGCGCTTCACTGGACTGGGGTCGCGAATTAAATTCAACTGTCCTGAGCTACAATTTCCCATGAGCCTCACATCCATCACCTCTCTGGACCCTCGACCCCCATGACGTGTAAAAACCAAGGAACTAGACTTCATCTTACGGGTAGCCGGGAAGGGGTGTCTTGTTCTCGGCACCGTAGGACCCCAGGAGACTGAGGCACAGGGCTCCCCCAACCCACAGCCACAGCGCACCTGCAAACACTTGTACAGCACGAAAGCCACGACGGCCGCGGTGTACAGCGCACCCACAGGCAGCGATCCAGGCCCGGCCCGCTCGCGCTGGTCCCGGGGCGGCGGCCGAGGTTCGGCGGCCCCGGGACGGCCCTGGGAGCGGCGCTCTGTGGAGGAAGGCCACCCGTCAGCGGCGGGGACGCCTCTCCCCGGCGGCCCAGCCTCCCTCCAGCAACCGTCGCTGGTACCTGGGTGAGCGCCCAGGTCGGGGATCGGACGCTCTCCGAGGACTCCCAGCAGCGCGGACACCAGCAGCAGCGCCAGCACGCTCGCCGCCCGGCCCGCGCCGGCCATGCCTGAGCCACCGGGAAGGCGCGCCCGGGCCCCGGCGTTCCGACGTCGGCCTCCCGCCGGAGTGCGCACGCGCGCGCGGCCGCAGGGCTCCCGCGCCGGGTCGCCGAGGGTGGCCACACGGGGGGCCGAGACCATATTTGCATAAGCCACGCCCAGCTGGCGTCCTGCGCGAGTTACCTTCTATCTCCTTACAGGGTTTTAACGACAGTGCCGCCACAGTCTTTCGGCCGAAAGTGTCTCGTGTAAAAGCGTCTCTCGTAAAGCAGTGGCTGGCTGTGTTTCAGGGTGAGGCGACCGAGTTCCTCACCACAAGCGAAAAATACGGCCCGTGGCGGAGCCATAAATAGGCCGCGCCCGGGGGCCCCGTCAGCTCGCTCTGAAGGCCTGTTTCCTAGGCTACGCACGGGGACTCGTTCCCCCCTTCCGCCTAGGGGAAAGTCCCCGGACCTCGGGCAGAGAGTGCCGCGTGCGCGCGCGCGCAGACCCCCCGCCGCACGGCTAGCCCGCCAAGAAGCCACGGAGCCGAGCGGCGCGCGGCGGGGCGTCGGCCGTCAGCTCTCCTAGTGACGCAGGCAGCGCGCCCTCGGCGCGCCAACCACACGGGGCTCATTCTCAGCGCGGCTGCTCTTTTCTTTCCCCACAGCCCGCCATGCCCTAAGACGGCGCGGAGGGCAGGGCGCGGCAGGGCTGTGGAGTGGCAGTCGTTAAAGCCCGATTGCCCCGAGGTGGCCTCCATGGAAAAGTAGGACACACAGACCTGGAGCTGCTGCCAGCTGGCACGGTGCACGCTACCTTCAAGGCCATTCTAGTGGGAGGCGTGGCTCTCAGCAGCTGGCTTCTTCCTCTCCTCCTCCTCCTCTTCTCCTTCTCCTTGTCCTTTTCTTCCTTCTTCTTCTTCTGAGTCATGAACTCCAGGTTTGGCCTCAGAACTCGCCAAGTATGCTCCTGATCTGAACTACTGAGCCGATTGGCCTCACACTCATGATCCCACACCTCAGCACCCAAGTGCTGGAAATCCGTTCTGAGTGCTGATAAGATGCTATGCCTACTGTGTTTGACACCCAAGTAGACTTTAACATTTTGAGTCAAAGCCTGTGTAATCCAGGACGAACTTCAGCATGCTGTGTAGGCAAGGACGGCCGTGAACTTCCAGATCCTACAGCCGCCTGAGTGCTGGGCCTGCGGGTGTGGGTTATGTGGTACTGGCTCCACTCCGGGGCTGTGTACCTACTAGCAAGTATGCTATCAGTGGTACCGCATCTCAAGACCCAGGTAGATTTTTTTTTAATTATCTAAATGTCAAAATTATTTTCAATGAATTAAAAAATAAAAACCAGGAAAGACACAGGCGTGGAACATAATTTTAAAAGTATTGAATTCCATAGATAAATAAGAATGCTAGTAGATAGCTAACAAGGTATATAGTTAACAATTTTAAATTAATTACAGAACAAGAAACAGTGATGGCTCTTAATTACTTTGATAAGTACATTATTACGTTTTAAAGAAAGTACGGTGAATCTTCGTGTTGCAATGAGTGATGAACAGTGTTTTGATTTTTACATTTTATTTCTTTTTGTGTGTCGCGTCTAGGGGTATGTGCGCCCGCACGCTCCTGTGGAGGTAGGAAGGACATGGATTTTGTCTGGACTGGCTAGCCAGAGAACTCTAAGGATCTACCTGCTCCCAACACTGGCTTGGGAATGGGGATTCAAACCCGAGTTCTCATCCCTCCGGAGCAAGCAGTCTTGCTGAGCCCCCTCCCCCAGCCGTACATTTAATTTCAAAAGTTCCTCAGGGTGCTGGAGGGATTGCTCTTCCAGACGACCAGGGTTCAAATCTCAGCATTCAGGTCACAGTTACTTGTAATTCCAGCCTTCACAGGCATCTGCACCTGTACACACACACCCTGTATGCCGCAACCCATACACAATTATTTTTAAAAATTGTATATGAAACAACAGATAGATAACTAGAAAATGTCTTAAATATAAGGAAACGTTTAGCAAATATTCAGATTTCACAACAAATTTAAGAAAAGCCTTAAAACATCAAATGGTCACCTTGAATGAAGAATTGTGGATTGAGAATGAAATAACAGGTTTATTTTCCTCAACTTTATACTTACTATTCCATAATTTTTAGTTTCATTTATTTACTGGCTCTGGGGAGTGAACCCAGGTCCTCATCCCTGTATATTGTAACCAGCACTTTTTTCCTGTTATTTTTGGGCTTAAATTGTCTTTTTTTAGATTTATTTATTTTATATAATGTTTTTGTTTTTTAAGATTTTGGTATGGGTGTTTTGCCTGCATAGCTGTCTGTCTGTACGCCACTTACATATCTGGTGCCCAGAGCAGCCAGAAGAGGGTGTTGGAGCCCCTGGAGCTAGATTTAGAGATGGTCGTGAGCTACTACACAGGTGCTGGGAATCAAACTCTGGACCTCTGGAAGAGTAACCAGCACTCTATGTATCTATATATGTATGTATGTATGTATGTATGTATGTATGTATCTATCTATCTATCTATCTATCTATCTATCTATCTATCCATCTATCTATCCATCTATCTAGACAGGGTAGTCCCGGATGTCCTGGACTCATTTTGTAGAGCAGGCTGGCCTCGAACTCATAGAGATCCACCCGCCTCTGCCTCCAGTGCTGTGTGCCACCACTGCCCGGCTAACCAGCACTCTTAACAACTGAGCCATTGGAATTTTTTGCCTCCATGTATGCTTGCGTGACATGTGCCTGTTTGGTGCCCTTTTCTAAAGAGAATGCGGATCTCCTGGAACTCAGTGACAGAGTGTTGTTGGCCTCCATGTGAGTGCTGGGAACCAAGCCTGGGGCCTCTGCAAGAGCAGCAAATGCTCTTAACCTTGAGCCATCTCTCCAGCCCCCGTCTGTTTGTTTGTTTTAAATGTTGAGCCAGGGGCTGGTGCTGGGGACGAGGCCAGGGTCTTGAGCACACACAGGACAAGCCCTACCAATGAGCTTGCACACCCTCAGTCCATCATTATTTAGTTCATGTATGTATGTATGTTCCTATATAAACAGGGTCTCATTTTGTAGCCTTTGCCTGGCCTGGAACTCGCTAACATAGACAAGGCTGGCCTTGAACTCACAGAGATCTGCCTGCCTCGTAAATGCTGGGTTTAAAGGTATGAGCCATCATATCCAGCTCAACTTGGTTGTTTTAAATCTACTGGTTAAAGAGTACAAATATTTCATTATCTGTGGAGTTGGACACCTGAAAAATTTTAAACTCTCAAAAACTAATTCTAGATAAAAACACATTTAGAGGAATCTGCTTGTATCAAGGCCCCTTTGCATAGGCTCATGTTCTCTGATTCAATGTCTATGTAGAACCGATGTTTTTATTTTCTTTACTTGTTTATAGCTCCAGGCACAGTCCGACTGGCCTCTAATTTAGTGTTCCAGGATTATGGGCATGAGCCACCACACCTGTTTTACAATGTTCTTTAAAAAGATAAGCAACAGCTGGGTTTGGCTGAGTGCGCCTGCAGTCCCATCGCTCAGAAGGGGAGCAGCAGTTCAAGGCCAGTCTCTACTGTCCACTGAGCTTGGGCTACATAAGCCCTTGCCCCCCCCCCCATGCTAATTTGAAGCATATGATCAGAGGAACACGTCAGTGTTCACAACAATTTAGAACTAAGATCTACAAAACATCTAAAAAGAAATGTGTGTGTGTCCACGTCCCTTGGAGCCTGGCAATCGACTGTCTTTACTGATTTCACCATTGCTCTCCCCTTTATTCTCTAAGACAGGGTCTCTCGCTGAACCAGTGAGCTCCAGTGGGCCACCGTCTCCTTTCCACCGTGTAAAGCTGAGGTTACAGACGTGTGCCACCGAGTCTGGCCTTCATGTGGTTTTCACATGCTAGGCAAGAACTTTACCAACTGACTACCCCACCCAGCCCCTGTGAAGAACGCTGCTTTCCAAGTCAGAGTTTCACTGTGTAGCCCTGAAACTCCCTACTAGGCTCTCTGCAGGTGAATAACTGCAAAGACAGGCCCAATTTGCCTGAATTAGCCTAGGAAGAGATTCCCTTAATGCAGTTAATGGAGTGAGGTTCTAGTGGACAGTTTGGAAGAGGTAGGTTGGGAGGAAGGATTCCAGCCTCCTCTATCTTCCGAGTCCCAATTAATACTAGTAATAATAACAGCAACAGCGATAATACACAGATGTTTCTCAGCTGGGTGTAGTGGTACATTCCTGTAATTTCAGAACTTGGTACGTGGAGGAAGGTCAGGAGTTCATATTGAATTTGAAGCCAGCCTGGGCTACATGCATTTGCTGTAATGGAAGCACGAATTCCGAAGCCATTCCTCCTTAGAGCGCGCTCATCTCCTTCATGGCGAAGTGAGCCAGATAGAAAAGGTGGACATCCCACGGCTTCTGTCCTTGTTAGTCCCGTCTCACATCAGCTGCTCGTCAGACTCTGGACTCAGCTGCACAGCACAGAGGCCTGTGTCCACTTTCTGGTGAAGGGCACCTAGGGTGGTGGGGGATTCTGAGAGCTCGGGTGTTGCAGGTGCGGCACCACAGGGCGGGGTCTTTGTTCTTCTGCTCATCCCTCCTCTCTGCCTTCCTCTCCGGAAACCAGCAAGTTTGTCACCGTCAGTATTGGCGATGCTGAGCTGTGGAGGCCAGGTTTGAGGAGACACTGGAGCTTGGGCGGTCTGTGACAACTGTCAGGGCGTGAGGAGGGCGGCCCTTGGCTCAGGACACTGTGGTTATGGGCCAGACTCTGGCACCGGCGGCAGTCGTGAAGGGAGCCGTCAACTGCTCATGCTCTCTGCTAGCCGTCGGTGAGCTGGGCGGGGCAGGGGCTCCTGGGGGAGGGGTTACGTGGTTCCCTGTTCTTTCTGCTGCTGGCTGGGGAAGGGGGTTATGCAGGGTAGTAACAACCCCGCATTCTCGCTCCGCAGGGATCCCCTCCGTAGCCGAGGCGTGGGGACTATGGACCCTCTTTGGGGTGGCGACAACGCTGCTTCTCATCTCCCTGGCTGCACTCTTGTCCCAGCGGACCTGTGGTCGGAGCAGGAGTCAGGAGAGACAGGGACCGTGAGTGAAGGGTAACTGGGATGGGTTAACTGAGTGCTCCCTCTTAACTACGAAGTCCCCACTCATCTTCCTAACTTTATGCTGCAGCCCTGGAGGGTCCGTGGAGGAAGTTCCCCTGTACGGGAACCTGCTCTACTTACAAACAGGTAGGCACTGTGGACGGGAAGGAGCAGGGCGCAAGGGCCGGGCTCCTAGTGCACAGACAGAGATGCCAGGGGCAAGCAGCTGACCAGATTTCTGTGCCCTTGTCCCAGGACGGCTGTCTCAAGAACCAAGGCCGGAAGAACAGGGCCCATCCTCTGGAGGCCCTGCCAGGGTGAGTCAGCTGGCCGAGGAAAAGGGAAGGGAAGGAAAAGGGGACCTGTCCGGAGAACGTCTAAAAGCCTCGCCTCTCCAGGCTGCAGAGGAGGCCATGTGCTACACTAGCCTGCAGCTGCGGCCTCCTCAGGGGCGGGCCCCCAGCTCTGGGACCCCCATCAAGTACTGTGAAGTAGTGCTGGACTCTGAGTCAAAGCCGCAGGCCCTAGGTCCCGAACCGGAACTCTACGCCTCCGTGTGCGCCCAGACACGCAGAGCCAGGGCTTCCTTCCCAGATCAAGCCTATGCCAACAGCCAGCCTGCAGCCAGCTGAGGAGGACCCGAATTGTGGGCACCCACGGCTCAGCTACTAGGTCAGCGACTCCTGCTGTCCCGGCTAGGACATGCTCAGTTCCTAACCAGCCTCCAGGACATTGAGCTGTTGCTGAGTGACAGGTGACAACCTCCTCTGAACTTCCTAAGTTGCCAGGCATACATCTCAGTTCTACGAAGACTCCTGGCTTCCTGAGGGTGGAGTTGCAAAGGGAGACCCTCTTTGCACTTATCTTTTCTATGTTCTCCTGTAACCCCCCCGACTCTTTGCTTTACACTTTGTCCTCCTTTCAGAGCTTAACTGGGTTCCCCGTCTCCCCTCTCAGTTTACCCAGATACCTCATTGTCTCCTCAGACACAGGAAGTGGGCAGGGAGGAGGAGGTAAAAGCCAGAGAGGATGTGGGTGGGTGTCGGGGCATGGGAGCCCACAACTGGAAGGCTCCTGGGGTCTCAGGCTTGGTTTCTGACCTGAAACCCTGGACTGAGAATGGTCTCCATGTTGCTATCTTTGGCATACCCTGGTTTTCAAATAAAGCATCTCAAAACTGTTTATATTTTAACCTGAGTGGCAGGTCGGGAACAGACTCCCCAAGTATGGGGGTGTGAGCTTTGGCACTGTGTAGAGCATTGCTGGGGTGCCCTGCCAGGAAAGTGTTGAAGAAGTAGATGCTGGTGAAGGATTCGAGCCTAGCTACTTGCTCAGATGCTATTCCCGGTTCCAGAACATTTACAGGACGTACATCCAGAGCCACCCATTGCCATGTGGGGTTGAAATCTCACCAGTCCTGAACTATCCATGACTTCTTTAACTGTTTCCCCACACCTGGTGGCCTAGCTCCTTCATCAGCCCCCATATCCCCTGTGAGTGCTGCTTGTGCCCTTACGTGGCATCAGCTGCCCTGTCTTTATTCTATCGGCCAAATACCTCTATTGGCCTCCTTGTCCTCCCCTGTCTATCTTGTTGTTGACTATGGCAACTGTTCACTCTACCTTCTTAGTTGTCGCCTATAGTCCTGGCAACAGCTGTGCTTATCACTGTTCCTGTCTGAAACCCTTATCCAATATGTCCTGCCTGGCCAGCCTTCACCTGCTTCACTCTTGGCCTGCGCCTTCTGCCTACATAACATGCAATAGTTGTAGGCAGGCTGGCGACAAGGTGGGAACTGTGGGCTTGGGGGCCAGGCTGCCCGAGTTCATCACCGCATGTTCCTAAGTACCGGGGCCTCCGTTTCTGCATCTGTATGATGGGGAAGATGTTCTTGTCATTTATTATTATATGTGTTCATGAGGGAGGGTACGTGTGTGTGTGTGTGTGTGTGTGTGTGTGTGTGTGTGTGTGTGTACTTATGGAGGCCAGTGGTTAACCCTGGATATTCCTTGTCAGGCACTGTCTATCTTGTTGTTGGATTTAAAAATTTTAAGAGTCATATTTATTAGTAGCAGTAATTGTAGAGGAATTTTAATTCAGAACATGGCTGCTCTGGCAAGAGATCATCACATCCAAAGACCTAGATCTGTGTGATCTGTCTGGAATACAAACACACCTGTAATCCAGGAAACAGAGGCAAGCAGATCTGAGTTCAAGGCCAGCCTGGTATAAAGAAAGTTTCAGGTTAAAAAAAAAAGAAAAAAAAAAAAAAGCTTAGGTCCAAGTCTGGTGGTACATGTCTTTAATCCCAAACTATGAAAGTACAGTTAGTTTGTAGAAGGAAGCTCCCATGTTTGAAAGTAATGTCTAATTGAGTGGCAGAAACAGTGACAAATCAGAGAAAGATTTGACAGAATAGGATACACCCAATTTTCATGAGAAGAAAAGAAAAAGAAAGTACTTAAGGGGCAAAGCAGAGAGAGAGAGAGACAGAGAGAGTAGTTTTATGGGAACAGTAATAGAGAAACAGGTTGCAGAGAGAGAATTCAGGTGGAGATCAAATGAACCCAAGAATGAGAAGGAGCCAGGAGATTAGAGCAGATTGCTGGACTTAGTTTGAAGCCAAGCAAAGCAATTCAGAGGCCAAGAAAAAAGCCAGACTGTATAAGTCAGCTTGGAGAGGAGTTTGAGCCAGAACAGCTGAGCTGAACCAGCCAGCCAGAGCTCAGAAAGAACAAGAAAGGGTGAGCTTATTCAGCAGTAAGTCCCAGAGGCTGAAATGTTCTAGGCCTCGGTTAAGCAGAAGGAGGCGGTAAGCCTGGGAGAGAACAACTGAAACAGTCGAGTAACAGTCCTTTCAGGGCCGCTGGTGTTTATGGGAGAGGATGAGGGGAGCAGTGTGCACAGCAGGAGTGGATCTTTTCTACTGTGTGGGTTCCAGGGGACTGACCTCAGCTGTCAGACTGCAAATGCCTTTACCCTCTCCCCGAAGCCCTGCTGCCACAGCCATTTTGCCAGCTCCTATCTGTTTTTCTGTTTTATTTTTTAGGCAGGGTCCCTTACTGGGCTCTGAGGCTATTGGAGTAGGCCAGGCTGGCAGGCTACAGAGCTCCAGGAATCCACCTGCCCATGAACCCTCCATTCTGGGGTTATAAACGTGTGCCCTTGGGGCCTGCTGGGCTCCAACTCAGGTTCTCCTGCACAGCAAGGTCTTACCTACTGAGCTGTTCCCAGCCCTTTTAAAACTCTTATTATTTTTGTTAATATTCATGCGTGGGGTGTTTTGTTTGCATGTCTGTATGTACACCACTTTTGCTCCTGGAGTCCAGGGGAGGTCAGAAGAGGGTGTTGGATCCCCTGAAACTGGAGTCACAGATGGTTGTGAACCATCATGTGGTTGGTAGGAATCGAACCTGGTCCTCTGGGGGGGAAGGGGGGACTTCCAATGCTCTTAACTGCTGAGCTATCGCTACAGCTAAAATGAGTATTTAAAAAATGTGACCATTACTTTAACGTTTATGGGTGTTCTGCTGCATGTATGTTTCTGCAGTGGCCATGAAGGCCAGGAGGCGGTGTTGGGTCTCCTGGAACTAGAGTTATTAAAATTACTAGGAATTATTAAAATCAGGAAAACCTGGGGTCCAGTGGAGGACCGCATAAATGGAGTGATGAAGCAGAGACTTTACAGGTAACAAGGAAAAGGGAAGAGCAGAAAACAGTCCAGCAGGGGGCACCGCAAGGCAAAGAAGAGGGGGCCGCTCTATAGAGCGGCTGAGGGGCGGCACGGTGAAGGGATGATAAAAAGGAAAAGGGCAAGCTGAGTCTGGTGGTGTCACAGAAGCCAACGGCCAAGGAGTTTGAAATCTCTGCTTCTGGTGAGGCGGGAAGAAGTCACTGAGTGAAGCACGACAGGAACTCCAGTGGCGGCTGTGTGGACTCGAGGCCTGCAGGATGGAGCTAGGCAGCAGGGCCCTTACAAAGGTGTCAAAAAATGTCGCAGAGGGCATGGGGAGGAAGTGGTGTGTCATCCATCATATCGCCCGTCTTTGTGGTCTGAACCCCATTACGGAAATAAAGCCCAGTTCCAAACTGTAAGGTTTCCTCCCAACTCCCCAGGCAGCAACACACTGCTCTGTCTAACCCTTGCGTGCTTTCCTGCAGCCCATCTATGATCCACCGCACTCTAGCAAAAAGCCCAACCTGGTGAGTTTCTTCTCCAGCTTCCGAGAGGCAGAACAGGGAAAAAGCCGAATCGCCTCCAGCCTGAGCTCCAAGCCCCTCTCTGCCAAAGGTCCCTGTCCAGCTCGACAGACTTTTTTGAGGTCTGAAGGCTACAAGAAACGGTTTTCATTTCCATGCTTTTCTCCTTTCCATTTGCAAAAGTTCCGAAGAGAGCCAGCGAACCTGCTTGGTAGAGAGGGGGTGTCCGCGAGAAGGGTGGTAGCGGGGGCTTCTCGTCTCTGTACCTCCGAGGATGCCAACCTGGGTCTCCCTAAGGAATGCTTAGCTTGCAACCGAGGACAGGCAGGCAGTTGTGTGGGAGGAAGGGTGGTTTGGGGGCGAACACCGGATGAGGAAAACCACAGCTTCGGGATGTGGGCTTCTGAAGGCTGCTGTGCTTCTGAGTCCGCACCAGCAGGACATGAGAAGTCAGGCTTTGAAGAGGAGGTGATCGGAATAGCACACACACAGGATCAAGGATCAGGGCTGAGGGCTCCAAAGCGCCAACAGAGTTAGCTGACTTAGAACCCCAGCCTAGGCTCAGAGCTAAGTAAATTCCAATGCCCTCGCCAGGCGTGAGGCGGCATCGCCACCACCTCTGCGCAGGCGTGATGCGGCATGGCCCATAGTATCCTGGGAATTGTAGTCTCCTGGTTTGGAGTTGCTCTAGACTCCAACCCAAGAGTCTGACTCCATGGGTTTGAAGCTGGGTAAACACCGCGCTTAAACTGAGTTTCTGAAAAGCGATAGGTTTTTCTTTCTTTGCTGTTTTTAATGTGCACCTGCAGTAGAGTATGATTTGAACTCTGTTTTTCTCGGAGTCCCTGAGGCCTGTGTTCCATTCATTCTCTTCCCATCCCTTCCTAGCCTCTCAGCGCAAGGAATCAAACACCAGGGCTTCATTCCTGCTGGCCAGTTACCTACCACCGAACCACGCGCCTTCTTTTCTTTCTTTCTTTGTTTTGGTTTGGTTTCTCCATGTTGCCCTGACTGTCCTGGAACACTCTCTGTAGATCAGACTGGCCTTGAACTCAAAGAGATCCACCTGTCCCTGCCTCTGCCTCCCCAGCAAACCCCCCCCCCCCCCCTGGATTTTTGTTTTTCAAGATGGGGTTTCTCTGTGTAGCTCTGGGTGCCCTGGACCTTGCTTTGTAGACCAGACTGTCCTCAAACTAAAAGATCTGCCTGCCTCTGCTTCCCAAGTGCTGGGATTAAGGGCATGTGCCACGAGGTCTGGCTTCTTCCCTTCGTCTTGTCTTCTCTTGTCCTATCATTAAGGTTTATACCCTGGCCCCAGTCCTGAACACTTAACAGGCAAACTGAGGAAACTCCATGGCTGGTTCCTATATCCAGGAACATAGCCACAGTTGTGTGGTGAGTCACCGTACCTGACCCTGTGCAAATCTACCCCTTCAACTCCCTTTCTCTGTGGATTCCTTTGCCTGGTGTATGTATCATTTCAGCTAGGGGGCAGACTTTTCAGGGGAGTCACTGGAGCCTTCTCCTGCTGAGAACCCTTCTGTGGCCCCAGTCTTCTCTCTTGTGAGATCTCATTTGATGATAGATGTAAATTTAGGACCAGAAGGAGAAGGGTTTGGGGACCAAGGGTAAACAACAGGGAGTGAGGGACTGTAGGCTGTATCAGGCGAGGTCTACACTAGGCCTCTCCATCTTTAACCTTGCCTTTTCAGTCCATCAGCTGGGGTTAAACTCCAGGATGGTTTTGCCCACTGCGTGAGACCAGGTCTTGGTGACTTCACTTGGATCCAACCACGGGCGGAACTAGGTCTGCCTTCTGAAGGTTTTGGCCGAGTAAACTAGTAAATCCCCTGTTTTGTTGCAGTCAAAGTTAGGTTTTCCATCCTGCAATCACGTGAATTCTGAATAATTCTCTGTGGATAGACCAGCAGATAAGGGTTAATGATGTGGATCCACTTTCATCTTCTCAGCCCCTCCCT